TTGACAAAATGGATAAAAAATATACTAAAAATAAAAAAAAAAAAAAAAATAGAAAAATAGAAGAAAAAAATAAAACACGTATTTCAATTTGCACTTGAATTATTAAAAATGGCAAATATTGTAAGAAAACGGAAGCTGTAAGAAATTGAAAAAAAAGAAAAAAAAAAAAGAAAGAAAACAATTTTTAAAAGAAAAAGAAAAAAGAAAGATATAAACGAAAGAAAATGGAGTATAGTAATTCTTTATTGGTTAGGTAGAAAATCCTGGATCGTCGACTTTAAGAACGAAGAAGAGTCTCTCGGACAAACTGTCTTTCAGAACGATTACACGAACGACCGGCCCGTGGAGAGAAACATAAGCTCTCTCTCTCTCTCTCTCTCTCTCTCTCTCTCCCACCTCTCTTTCCCCCTTCTCTCTCTTTCGTCACAAGCATCACTTCTGTGACGGTGGTGTAATGCCACCGGGATGCTATCAATCGACTCCCCATTTCACCCCCCTTTAATCCTCCTCTTTAACTATCACCCTCTCTCTCTCTCTCTCTTTCTCTTCTTCGATAGAATATCGAAGTTATCCTTTTTTTTTCTTCTATATATCTCTCTCTCTCACACTCACTCTTCTGCTCTCTCTCTCTCTCTTTCTATTGCTCTCATTTTCGCTTCGTTTATTCTACACGAGCAACATAAGCAACCTTCTTTCCCCCACCACCACCCCTCACTCACTCTTTCTCTTTCTCTCTTGGTTCTTCTCGTCTTCGTAAAGCTTGCAACAAGCTGGCTATACGACCCTTACGTAAACTTTGTCTATGATTAAATTTTACATGGGAAAATTTAGTTGTACCTAAAAATAATTCCAAGAACGAATACCAAATATCGGATGAATATTCACCTAACCGGCAATGTGTTTAAGAACTCTCTTTCTCTCTCTCTCTCTCTTTTTCTTTAGTTATTTGAAATTTTTTTGTAAAGTGCAAATATACGTTTGATATTTTTAATGACTCGATTATTCGTAGATTGTGATTTTATGTATTATTTGCTTATTTATTAAATATATGTATGTTATGGTATTAAATAAAAATCAAAGTGATTTAAAACTTGGACAAAATAATTTGTTAAATTAAGAATAATATAAAAAATACATTTTTTAATTAAATTATACATTTATTAATGTACTTTGAATATTGTAAAAAAAATTTCTATCTAATATTTTATTAGATAAAAATATTAAAAAAAAAAAATACTTTTGGTTTAAACAATCATAAATATTAATAAAATATATGAGAGTATGATTTACCTTTTATTAATTTGTTAATTAATTCAAATATACTTTATAGTATTTTTTTGTATTATATTATAATTAAATAATATTATATAATAATATTATAATACAATATTATAATATAATATTAATTAATATAATAATATAATATTATAATATAATATTATAATATATTATTATTATATATTTTATTAGATAAAAATATTGAAAAAATATACTTTTGATTTAAACAATCCTAAATATTAGTAAAAAATACGAGAGTATTCAATTTACCATAATTAATTAGTTAATTAATTCAAATAAATGTATATTGTAATTGAAAAGCACGTAATAGTTCGTTCTAAACACCATCCCGTTCGAAATCAAACGATAAACTAAAAGTATTTCTATTCAATGTTGTTTATATGACTTTCCATATAAGGTAATACTATTTATCTGGAATATTGTGTACGTTATACATAACGTATCCTTCGAAAAGTCATAAAAACAACAACTAATAAAGAAGAAATGTTCATTGACTTTTAAAAAGGACAACGTGCTAGTTTAACGAAAGATTTTGAGGAAAACGATACACAGAGTGATTTTAGGTAACAAAATACACTTTTCTTTAATTAATTAATAATTATTTTAATAATTTAATTAATTCAACGTGTATATATAGGATTGTTTAAAAATATATATATACATTGGATTAAATATTATATACCATATATACATATATACATTAAATTTAAATATTACTGATGAAAAATTCTAAACAAAATATTAGAATAATTAATGATTATAATTATTAACAAAAATTAAGTTGCCAAATGGGGAGTGTATTTTAAAAAACATATAAGAAACATTAAACATTTTCATCATTCGTCAAATTGTACATTTATTTTATTATCATTAAATAAAATTATAAATATAATTGATAATACAAATACAATGAAAATGAATTATATTATTTATTCTTTTTTGATTCTTATTATTCTTTATTATTAATTATTCTTCTTTTTTTGCAAATATAAAACGAGATTATGTATTATATAAAAAAGATTCTTGAATTAAATAAATACTTGAGTTATTTATTTCTATAATTAATGTAGCATGTTTAATGAAAATTAAATTTCTTTTAAAAATAACCAAAAAAAAAAACAACGTGTGGGAGTGAGAGAGAAAGATTGTTGAAATATGAGAGGAACTTAAATGCCAATGCCTGTAATTTCAACGTTTTGAATAATTTAGTATTTCACAATTGTTCCTGATCATTTATCAACGTGATTTATTATTTTTGATCTGTGACCATTACTAACAAAAATGAACAAGAATTTAAGAATAATGGATACATCCCATAAAAAAATAAAAGTAAAGAAAAAGAAGTAGAAGAAGAAAGAAGAAGAAGAAGAAGAAAAACAAAATTACGAGATCTGTTTAAAGTGACATAAAACATTCTTACATTTTGTGTAAATTATCGCTCGAGGAGATTTGATTTTATGCTTGATGCACGTGCGCTAAGATTATCTTGTTACATTGTACCATTATGAACAAAAACGTGAATGGTTGGGTGAAAAGTTGGTTTTTAAATTTATTCTAAAAATAATTCTATACGAGTAGAATATTTGTTTTATGTAGAAAGTGTAGGAGCTTTTTATCTCTTTTATTTATAATAAATATTTTGTAATATATATCATGAGATTTGTAATCATCAATAATGTTAATCAAAATTATTTAAATGATCAGAGAATAAAATTGTGAAACAATAAAAAATATACAAAGTAGAACTTTAAGAAATATAACAAATAAATTGTTATATTAAACAAATATTAATTTTTCTTTAATGATTTATTTTTATAATTAATTATTATTATTATTATTATATTTTTATTTATACACATGTACATATTATATTATATATTTTTTTTATTTTTTTTATATTATTATTTTATTATATATTAAATTATTTTATTATATGTTATATCATATATATTTTTATATTTATTTATTACCTATTATTATATTTATATTTTATTATTATATATTATATTACATTATTATTTGTTATATTATATATATATAATTAATATAATTAATATATAACAATTATTATATAATTTTATTATATCATATTATTAATATATAATAATTATTATATATTAATATCAACTGTGATTTATAAAATTAAAATATTCATTTTTTATTAATATATTATTAATATTATTATTAATTACAATTATAATTTTATAAATCACAGTTAACTTGATTGTATTCAAATTCGACTAAATACAATTTGTTAACACATTTGTTAATTAAAACAATAGAAAGATCATTAACTTGTCTAACATTGTAGTTACACTATGGAAGGACAATTGAAATGTGGTATGTTTGGTTCATCGATAAATTAATTAATGGATAACGAGGTCAACGTGTAACTCTCGTCTATTCTCAGCGTTTAGTTTGAGCATTACTGGTTTCTACAAATTACAACTATAATATTATTATAATAACAGTGTTCGTTAAAATCACATTCTTCCGATAATCTCAATAATTTCCTTTTTCTGTTTTTTTTTTTTTTGTTTTTTTATACCTTTTTCAAGAATTAACAGGGGAGGGGAAAAAAAAGAAAATGAATTTTATTATTTCTTCTTTTGTAAATAATGCGAAGTCATCATTAAATCCTACGTAAAGTATTATTATCTTGTTCGACTATGTTGGATAGAAATAATTCAGCGAATGAATCCAATCAACGAAACATCGGTTCATACGTCGCAAAAAAAAAGGAATGAGTGTGTGAAAGAAAAGGTGCGTTAAGAGTCAACCTTTTAATTGCATGGATACGAACCGAGAGCTTTGATAGAAAGATTTGAGGGAATACAGGTTTTACATTTCAAATTAATCCCTTTTCAAGATCATATCAAACTTATTTGCAAATTTAATTCATTTTATTTATAAATCACAATTTCAATGAGTTTCGTTGTTTTTTTTCTTTTTTTCTTTTGATTAATAAAAAGATTTATATTAATTGTATATCAAATTTTGTATAATAAAATAGCAAATTTATACAGGTTTCATGTAAATGTTAGATTTTCTTGAATGACATTCGACATTGGTCCAATTTATTTCAATCTTGTGAAACGTGTAAAAAAAGAGGATGACAAATATTCTTACGACGTGCAATACATGCATTGATCAAAGTTTCGTTCATGGTCATTGACATTTAATATCAGCTTGGTATTTGTCGATTTTGATCAAATTTTAGGTGACATTTTTTTATTGACACGTGCATGTTTTATTCTTTTTTTGTTTTTTTTTTGTTTTTTTTTCATAGAACATGTCTCACGGACTAACAGGTTTTTTTACTGATAAAAAAATGTTGAACGATGTACAGAATGATTCATAGATCAATTCGTATTAGTAGAACGAGTCTTGCAAAGAATGTAGAACAAAAAAAAAACAAAAATTGAAATTTAAGTCATATACAGTTGTAAGTTATATAAATAAAATATTAATAATATAAAATTATTATAAATATTTATTTAAATGTAATAATAATATATAAATATCAAATTGTACCTGTTTTGTAACTATTTTATACGAATGAGAATTTTTAAAGTTTGTGAGTTGAATGATGGATTGATCCTACGTGCAATAAGATCTTAAAAATTATTAAAATTATTAAAAAAATTGTTGTAAAAACTGTAGATATAAAGAAGGGTAAATTTTTATTTTTATTTTTACAGAATGTTCATCGGTTCGTTGATTTTATTCGTCGCATCGATTGTCATTTCGTTTGCTGAGGATTCATCGTTGAACGATGCACTCTCTTTCAAACGTGCTCCAATGGGTTTTCAAGGTATGCGTGGTAAAAAAGATCTTACATCTATTCAACACACTGATTTTTCCAAGAGGGCACCAATGGGCTTCCAGGTAAACAAAATTTTCATTATTTCATTTAATTAATCTAATAATAATAATAATAATAATAATAAGTTGGTTTATTTCATACAACGTTTATCATTTTCGTCAAATACTCGAATTTCATTTTTTAATTATATTTATTAATTATATTTATTAAGATGATAGATAAATAAATAATGGGAAAAACAATTGTTGACATGTGACAATTATGATTAATAAATTATCAAATAACAATTGTTGATTTAATATGATTTGTTCTATAAAACGCGTAAGGTGTTAATTAGTTATAAAAATTGTGTTTGTTGTTTTTATTGAAATCTTATAAAATTTATTCAGGGTATGCGTGGGAAAAAGGATTCAATCGTAAACGATGACAATATCTTGCAAGAACCAGAAGGATTTGAAAAACGTGCACCCATGGGATTTCAAGGGATGAGAGGAAAAAAAGATTACCTAATTCCCGATTTTGAGGATGTTTATTATCAAGATAATTATGAAAAACGAGCACCTATGGGATTTCAAGGTATGAGAGGGAAAAAAGCAATATCCGAAGAGGAATATTATAAACGTGCACCAATGGGATTTCAAGGAATGAGAGGAAAGAAATCTCTTGAAGAAGTACGTACACACATATATATATATATATGTATTAATATGTTATTACGTAAATCAGGAGCTTAGTCTTTGAGTATTGCGACAATTTATAAATGTGTTACAATTTTTTTTAATTATGCGAAAACAATTTTGTTAAATATTTATTTTAAATATACTATTGATTTTTTCTTTTTATTATCAGTGACTGAAATATGGGTCGTATGAATTGAAAGAGAATTTTTATTTTATTTTTTAGAAAAAATTGTTTCTAAACATAAACTAGAAACTATTCAATTCATTACAAGTATATATTTCAAATTAAATTATTTAAAATTATGACAAATTTGTTAGTTTTGCAAGAATTACGTTTAAAATATACTTAAAAGTAAAAATGTTAATTAATCATTTGCACTAATAATATGACATATTACTCGTATTAATATTTATTTGTTTAAAAATTCGAAATGACATGTGGTTATGAACGTCGGTAATTAGAAATCTAAAAAAATACATTTGAAAATAATTTAATATCGCAAAATAATAAACGTTCGATAACTGAAACGTATAATAAAAGTTAGACAATAAATAAATTAATTTTTTGTTTTAAATACTTTAAATATTTCAAAATAATTAAAATATTACAATTAAAAAATACAACACAATAAAGTTATATGGATATCATTTAAAAGCATTAAAGATAAATAAATAAAAAAAAAAAAATAAAAATAAAAATATTCTCAAAGAAAGTTGAAATTACGTTGGAGAAATGAGAAACGTTGTTAAATTATTCTTTTGATACGGAATGCTATAAATGCTTTATTGCATTCAACGTTACTTTGAAAAAAAACTTATCACCGTAAAAGAAAATTATTAATGAAAAAAATATCTGATACGTGTATGTGTTTGAAATATGTAAAAAGTATTATGGTGTCTCGTTGTTTTAAATTATTGTGAACTATTTGATCATGCGTATAAATATATATATATATATGAATTAATTATTAATTAAATTGATTGACACATTTTTTTCAAATAAAAAAAAGTGTCAAATCATCAAATGACAATTTATCGATTTATGTAAATGTTACGTTAAATGAGGATAACTGATAAGAATTTTAAAATAACGACCAACTCTTGAATAGATATTGGAAGAGATCGAGAAAAGAGCATCATCAATGGGATTTCAAGGTACAAGGGGTAAGCAAACCTACTTGTTCGACTATCCTGAAGAATACGAGAAACGTGCAATGGCAATGGGATTTCAAGGTATGCGTGGGAAGAAGAACGCATATTCAATGGAATGGGAAAAGAGAGCACCCATGGGATTTCAGGGTATGAGAGGAAAAAAGTCACTTTACGATGAAATAATCGAGGAATTAGAAAAACGAGCTATTATGAGTTTCCAGGTAAATCCTATTTAATCTCTAAATTATTTAAATTATTATAAAAATATAATAATAATAATATAATATAATTAGATAATATATTAATATAATGTTATTATAATATTTAATATTAATTAAATATTATATTTAATTTATAATATTTATTATATATTTTATATTATTATAATATATATTAATTTATAATACTTAATATAATATTAATAAAATATTATAATAAAATGAAATAAAATTAAAATAAAATTATTACAATTTATATTTATTATTATCTTAATATATATAAATTACGTGTCACGTTGTTTGTCCGCAATGGACTCCTAAACTACTAAGACCGATTTTAATCAAATTTTGCACACTGTGTGCAGTTTCATCCACCTTGAAAGATAAGATAGTTTATATATCAATTTATAATCGCAATATTATTTTATTGCAAATTATTTGTTTATTACCAAAGAGTCATGATTATATCTATTAATTCGATAAGATTCTAACAGATGGCGATATAAGGTAATAATTTATATAGCAAAACAACGTTTGCCGGGTCAGCTAATATAATATATAATATTGTGATAATAATAAATATAAATAATAAATATAATATAATTAATTTATATTTCAACTAAAAAATGTAGGATGATCAATTAAACGAGGATTTAAATGGCAATTATGTGGATTACTTCTTTGATCCAATCGATTATGAGAAAAATGAAGAATCCAGGCGTTTTCAAGGTATGAAGAATAAAAAGGATGGTAATAAGCGAGTACCCTTGGGTTTTCAAAGTATGAGAGGCAAACGTAACGTCGTACAACTTTATGGAATCAATGGAAAAACAACGTCGACGGAATTCCAAGGTAAACTTTGAGAATTTTTTAAATTATATTTTCATTAATAATATAATTAAGAAATACAATTTTTTTTGATCATTTCTTTTTCAAGATGACAAAACAATTTGGTGATGATACGTTAATTTTTTTTTGTTTTTGTTTAAATTTTTATTCATTATTATTACTATATTGAAAGTAAAGAAGTAGAGATGAGAATTTTTTAAAAATATAAAATTAAAAATGAAAAGTCAATAATAATAATAAATAAATAAATAAATAGTACAATCTCGATGACCATGGCTCGTTCTGAAATTTTGTTGATTTCATTTTTTTTGAAACGAACTGTATGATGATTGGCACTTTGTTTCTATTTTCTATTATCTTTGTATTAATTCATCCGGTGAAAAACAAAAAAAAAATAAATTCAATCGGTCTGAACGTAGAGAAAATAAAAACGGGCAAAGATAAAAAAAAAAAGTGAAATTAGAATTTTTTTCATCGTTACAATTAAATAAAAGAGAGAAAAATGTATTAAAAAAAAAAAAAAGGCCCACATTCTTGAAAATATTTATTCGAGCAGGCGACACGAACGATAGAAGAAACGGATTATCGTTGTACCAATTTAATAAACGATCTCCCTACCGATATTTCGGAATTCGCGGTAAGAAAAATCCACGATGGGAGATACGGGGAAAGTTCGTAGGGGTGAGAGGAAAAAAATGGTCGACAGCTCCGTACGAGAACAATGGCAACCTCAATAATAACATCTTTGATAACATCAAAAGGATCGACGTGAAGACGGTTCCAACGGTGGCATTAGGTAATTTCTAAGTTCCCGAATCACTGAACAATTTCAAATTCATAAATATTCATCAATAATTATTATTTAAAAAAAAAAAACAAACAAATCACGTTCTTTCACGTTTCTTCCCTGTCTTACTCGAATCTGTCGTTTCTATAAAAAAACAAAGTAAAAAAAAAAGAAGTATTATAATTATTACGATCATCAACAAAAAAAAGGGCCATTGTCAATTTCTCTATCTGCATTTAATTAATTTCATTTGGTATTGTTCGATCAATTAATATTTTTATTCTATTAGCATGTAGTATTAGATCAACCAGAAAATGTTGTCCATTTTTAAAAATAAAATAAAATAATGAATTATTCCTAATTTGAACAAATAATTAATTGAATTACTTTTGAACTCTTGCCAACATTATGGCAATTTGTATATTCCATTTTAAGAAATGGGGCCTTACCCCTAGTGACGAAATATTGAACTAATGTTTGTTTGAATGGACAGAATCTTCTGGTAGACCTAATATATACACATTATTTCCTCTAGTTTCATAATTCTTTATTTTTTTGATTAATCTTTTGATGTTATTCAATAGAATTTGATTTAATTAATATTTAAAATAGAATTTTTGTTTACGTTTTTTTTTCTCTTAATATTAGAAATTGTAAATAATCTTTTATTTTTCATCGATATTAAAATAGTTGGTTTGAAATTATTCGACTCGCATATGCATTCGTATTTTAAACTAATATTTCATTTCTATCTTATATGCTCGTTTCATTTTATTTCATATTCGTAACGAATTGATTATTTCGCTGAAATTGATTTTATTTAGAGACCGTAAAGTTTTGTAATATTTTCTACGAATACATTATTTGATTCTTACGAATAAAAAATTGTTTGAAATAAAATAAATCTACATAAAATCACACACACACATGGTATTATTTAAAAACAAGTTTTTATTTTTAAATATCAGTTAAATCTCATCCGCGTGCGCGTTATTGAAATAACCAAAAAAATATCCAACATTTACAGTTTGCTACAAACCACAAAAACAAAACAAAATAAAATAAATATGAAATTTCTCTCGTATTTTTTATTTTCAAATCTGGTATTATTTTAATTCGTTGATTAAAGTATTCATTTAACGTGAGGTCTTTTTTTTTTTTTTAAAAAGAACAAATGAACATAATTGAAGATGTTTCAATTAGGAAAGTATTTGAAAATTAACGACGTATGTATGTAAACTGTGAGTTTCATTCGCGAATACGAAAGTATTTGTTTTCCTAGTTCATAATGAAAACTCGGGGGACTATGTATTAAACCACGTGACATTTTCAACAAAACTGCATATTATCTGAATACCGACAACGAAACAATAATAACGCAAGCAAGGACTACTTTAAAAGTTCCTACTTCGTTGATGATATATATATGTATGTATGTATTTCTGTCTATCTGTCCTTTCTTTGAGTATGAGTGTGTAACTGTTTCATCATCACATCGTGTATATACCTTGCATGTATGTACTTGAGTGTTAGTACATACTTTAAACTGGTATTGTTTAAAAAGTCTCTCTAATCCTCATTGTTTCGTTTACGTAAAGGTATCGTATCCTGATAATGAGCTATCAACGAAGGAAACTTTTGAAATTCGATAATTTATGTTACATTATTTTAACACGTTTTAATATTACACACAAGGGTTCCTATCGAATTTACCAATAACGTTGTGGGATGAGTTTTATTGGTGACTGTAAATAACTGAATTAAAAAAACTTCACATAATTTGAGTGAACAATGTTTCTAAAATTATTCAATCATTCAAATGATGTAAAGAAACAAATAATTTTATTTATAATCTTTTCTTATATATATATATATATATATATTTTTTTTTTATTATACGAGCACGTTGAGATGCATTTTTAAAATATGGCGAATAGAACGAACGAATCGATTAAATGTTATACGTAACAATTTTGTGTTTGTTTTTAGCACACACGTTTGTATAATATTTTGTAAAACCATCGAGTATCTTTTATAAAATTTTCAACCACATTATAATATTCGTTTTTTATTATTTATTTTTATACATTGTTTATCAGATATTACGTGAGATGCAAAAGTAACTGATTTGACTATCCAATAAAATAAATACATAAAACATACTATTAAATTTAAATATTTTATATAATATTTTACAATACTATGAATTAAAAAAAAAAAAATAAGATATTCGTTTCACTATCAGAGTTTTGTTCAAAAATTGATCTGGCAATTAACTCGTTACAGTTGATAAATTACTCATGTAACTTATCAACAGATACTTCAAACTTTAATTTAAGTGTCTTATCAGTATCATTAGTCGAATTTCAAAGTTAACTGTTCGCTTCTTACATGACATACGATCCTGGTATCGAATTCTATGTAAATGAACAAATCAAAAATCTGTGTAAATGCACTTTTGTTAATTGTTGCAAATAATCGTTGTAATTCATTGACTATCATTAATACTTATTGTTATTTTTTGTTACAGATATACAGTAATGGCAAAAATTATAAAAAAAAAAACCTTACTTACAGTCGTTACAGGCTGTCTTCTTTAAGTTAAACCAATCTATTCGATAAAACGGCGAATTACGGACAGGGTGAAGCTGAGCGTGAAGTGTAATCCATTGATTTCATTTCTATGTAATTATCGTAGAGCTCAAAATTTCATTTGATTACCGTAGTACTGTAATAACTAGTCAATATAACATATACATATATATATATATGATATAGATGATAATTCGTACGTTAAAAAAAAAAGGAATAAAAATAAAACAAACAAAAAAATTAACAAAAACCACTATTAAAAGAGAGAAAAAAGAAAAAAGAAAAGAAAAATCCAAAGAAAAATAAAGAGAGAACAATTTCTTCATTCGATTCGTGATTTGGTTTATGCGTAAATCAAAATGCAAATGTTAAAATACAAAAAAAAAAAAAATATTGTAACTGTTCCGTGTAAAACCCCTTTGAAAAATGATTATATATATATATATATATATAAAAAAAGCCTATATCAGTATTATCGTTAAATTGTACGATTATCGATTATTTGAGAGTGAGTGGGAGAGAGAGAGAGAGAGAGAGAGAGAGAGAGAAAGTATGAAAAAGTTAAAGAAAAAAAAAATAGAGAGATAGAGAGAGTGTATGAAGAAGTTCAAAAGAAAAAGAAAGACAGTTACTTTATTTCTTGTTCCTAGAAGTATAGTAAGATTATTATAGCGAAGCAATTGGATGTCCCAAACTTTGAAAAAAAAATGCATAACGATGACGTAAATATAAGGGTAAAAATGGTAACAAAAAAATAAAACATTTAATATACACATACATATTATACAAGTATACGTACATACACGGACAGAAACATATATAGCGATAGATAGGAACTATATTTTTCTCTGAATGTTATAAAGTAGATATATTTACACCTATATTTGTGTACCTCGCAAAAATGATACTTTTGTTGTCTATTTGAAACCATACTTTAGTCATCTGCGATATTTAATGCTTGCACTATGTCTGTATATCTAATTTTTAATCTTAAATGTATAACATCATTCTCGCAAGTATTTATATTATACGTTATCTTATTCATATATTTACCCTAAACAAAAAATTCTTTTTGAACTTTATTTAATAGAATAGTAAATATGAATCTACGTTGGGAGATAATTATTACCAAAAATATCAAACTAATAGGGGGACGAGATGAAATGGAATAAGTCTGAATACTAATTTACATTTCTTATGCAGCTGATGTACCTGAAATGCACCAATGTCTTTCTCCTCTGTACCTTTCTTTAACAAAAAAAAAAAAAAAAAAAATTATTATTCAAAAAAAAAAAAAAAAAAATTACAAACAAGAAGAAAAAAAAATATATTTCTACTCCTTCTTCAGAGTGGGATGTTTTTGGTGAATGCTTCTAGTAAGCTAAATCAAAGGATTTCTTAGGCTGGTGGAAGAGGAACAACAAGTTTGCTTCGTACTTTACTTCTTAAATCCTAGTCCTTAAAATAATCTAATATAAATCCTATACACACTTTATGATTAAGACAAGTATGAAAACAAATGTTTACAAGACAATGACTAATATTAGATTAAAATAGAAAGTCTTTTATTAGGTTAATACGAATGGATTTTATTAAAGGGAGATGGTTGAAATATGTCCTACAATATTCTATAATTACAAATGATGTAAATTAAAGAAAGTATTTCCTAACAATAAGATGCACCACTATCATATGCTCGGTGACTAAAGTATGGCAGACAAATAAAGTAATGCTAAACATTTAAAACAATATTTTATTTTTATTATTTCTTTTCATTCTCTCATGGTCAAATTGTAGCAGAATTTTTTTCCAGTATACCTTGAAACGTGTTTTATAACATTTTGCAATACTTTGTATCTATTATTTTATTATTAATTATTACATGTATTAATGACGTCCAGTTATGTAACAAAAGTTGTACAATAATTGAAGCTATAATGTTTAAATTGAAAATAAATATGTTAGATATCATATATACGTTCTACATATTACTCAATGTTAATTGAAATTTATTTTTCTCTGACAAATGATAAAACGTAATTCGTCATTTTTGAAATTTAATCTTTAACTACAATGAGTGAAAAATAATTCACAGACAAAATATGTTGTATAGGATATGTTGTATTTTGGATAAAAAAAAAAAATCGACAGATTGGGTGCTACAATGAAAAAATTATAAAAGTGTATATATTATAAACACAAAAAATAGTTATGATGATTAGTAAAATGATTATTATGAATGTACACACATCGATGTACTATATAAATATATGTCTACGTACAATTGAATGAAAAAAACATATCAATAAATATATAATTCATTATATCCATCCCATATTTTTATTGCTTTGATGTTTTATTCATCAAATATATTGTTTTATTATTATAAAAATCTTAAAACTTACTAAATATACTTGAAAATTGATCCTAGTTTTTTGTTTATAATCCAATTTATACTTCACGAACTTTATAATACTATTTGATTTAAATTTGGTACGATTTATCGAAATGCGGAATAATACGTTTTGATTGGTTATACTATTGGCCAATCAGAAATGTATATGCTTGGTCTTGTCACGCTATTGGTTGAATATCTCCAGTAGTCATGCGACTGTTCACAGAGGAGTATAGAACAGTGTCGTAAACCTCAGAGAAACAAAATAAGAGTTTGTGACAGTGCAGTGTATTTTCCACCTGTTTTTGACTAACCTTAAAACATTAGTAAGTGTTAACTTTTTATTTATTTTCAACATTTACTAATTAATATAATAAATATTTATAAATATAATAATTATACTATTTTACATATGTCTAGTTATAAAGAAAAGGAACAATTTATTTGGTTAGAGACTTCTTTTATTCTTTTTTTAATAAAACATTTGATTTATCTGTTATTATGTTAGCACTTATTTTTATCTTTTATCAATGATGTATAAAAATATCATCATTAATTTGTTTGTAACGTTAATAATGCATTTAAGATTTTAAGCTTCTTATTTAAGGTTAATTGATATGACAATCTATAATTATAGGTTATGTACATTGTATAAATGTCATTGTATAAATGTCATTGTAAGACTGCTCAAGAAATAGAGATAATGCATAATTAAAAGATACAAAGTGATTGTTTAATTTATTTTAATTTATATTTATTTATATAAAGGATGTATTGATGATATCTATTTGTAATTTGGATAGAAACACACGTTAAATCATTATAACATTTATATATAGGCCACATAAAGAAGGTGCATATATTTTTTATTTATTTAATATAATTGTGTGAATGAATAACATTATAATTTAGAGAAAGTTATAGATTAGGTTTATGAATATCAGATATTAGAGAAAACATTAAAAAGGTTAATTACTTAATTGATCACTTAAAAATACGTATGTAGTAAACCGTAATCTAAAATAAATACTTTTTATGAAACTGAGAAGATAGTTCTTTTTATTTTTGCTAGGAATTAGTTTAAAGATTGTTTCAATGTCTTTGTAGAAGTTAATAATTGATTTCAATGATGTATATATACTCTACATCAGTTTATCCACCCCATGGAAAAAAGACTTTTCTTTCTTTTGTTGGATCATTATCATAAAGATCATAATTATTAGGAATGATTACAACTTCTGCATTTGTGCTTCTTTTACCACCCCAAGGTTGAAAGTGAAATCTTCTGGAGTATTCATTAATAGCTTTCTTTTCTAGAATTTGTAGTTGATCGGTTGGATTATTGTTTCTATCAATTACATCTTCGAAATTTATCGATTCGTTAGTTACAGGTAAATGAAACTCCTTATCGTTGTTTCTTTTTCCTCCCCAGCTATTAAAACCAATTCGTGATCTACTAGTTTTTATCAGAGCAGCACGTTTTTCATCTTCTATTTCATCCAAGATTGTATCTTCCGTTGTATCTTCTGTAACATTAGAAAATTATTAGATGATATATTTAAAATTGAAAATACAATTTTTTAAGTGAATTTATATAATAGAAGGTATGTATACCATTAGGTAAATAAAATTCACTTTTTTCTTCAGGAGTATTATCCACGTTTTTGTTTAAATCAGATTCTGAATTTATACTTCGTTTTCCTCCCCAACTATAGAATGGTGTTCTTCTACCAAAGTTGGGTAATCTTTTGACGTATTCATAAAAGCTTTGTTGAGCATCCTTATCAGAAACTGATTTGCTGCCTTTCGTCATTAAAAAACTAGCTGGATCATCCAAATGTCCTCTTTTGCCACCCCAGCTGTTAAATGGCATACGAATGGGTCTTTCAATCTTCGATGATCTGAAATGACCAACTCGTTTGCCATCACACCGACTGAAGAATGGATTTTTTATATCTTCCAATTCATTTGATTTATAGTTCTGTTTGAAATTATAAATATGTTAATAACGATGACAATTTATTGTTTTTGTTTTTTATAATATCATATAAAAAATATATTAAATCTTACTCGTTTATTTGTTGGTAAGTAAAGTAACGAGATGGTGGGTAGAATTTCGCTATTTTTCAAAACATACCAAAAATTACTCTTCGATCCTTCCACAAATCGTTTATTTATACTCTTTTGAAAATCATTGTCTAAAAAAATTGCAATATCTTTATTTAACAATTAATTTCTTATTAATTATTTGGGACACGTTACATTACACATTTCAATTACCTTTTTCATTATTAAGACTCATATGTAATAATTCTGCCGAATTAATATCCTTGTTAATATCTTCGAATGTTTGTTGAATCGAATCCGTGTTTTCGACATTCGGTGTTCCAATAATCGCGTCAGCCGTAATAATTAAAAGTAGTAGCCACATTTCTATAATAAAAAAAAAAAAAAAAAAAAAAAAAATTGCAAAAATATTCTAAATAGTACTAATTGAAAAAAAAAAAAATACAATTATTGCATTATATTTGAATCAATTTAATTAAAATATTTCAATTGAAATTAGATTTTAAATGCATCATATATTTGTTTAGTTGAACACACGTGTACTTATTCAAATAAATAATACGAAATTTTCTAATTGATAATTTCCTTGATTCGAATAAATAAAATAATTGTGGTTTTCTTATTTTTTTTTTTTTTTTTTTTTTACATACGTTTAACGTTTTAAAATGATAATTAAAATAAATATTAAAACAAAATGAACGTTTCGTAGGGAACGTATTAAAGGTGCGCAGACGCGTATCGTTGGAGACTTCGATGAAAGGGCTGAAGTGATTTTCCGTAGCCAAAATTTTGTTATCAATCTTACGTTTAATCGAGAACGAAGAGAGCTATTTCTTTTTAATTCTTAATTCCAACTTGGTCATTGAGTAAAATAAAAACTTCAAATAATAATAGCCGACTTCTTGAACTGTTTTTTTTTTTCTTAAGCGGCTTTTCTCATAAATACGATTGTTTCTTGTACACAATTAGCAGATTGTTTCTTTAAGCTAAATTGAGAAGAAAACAAAAAAAGAAAACTACAAAGGAAAAAGTAATAAAAAAAGGGGTTTTGTACAAGATTTGAGTTCATATAATACAGGTTGTTATGTTCATATAATATGTTTAATATTTCTTGTGTAATTTTTTTGTCTATCCAACTTTAATGCCCTTTTATTATTATTATTATTATTATTATTATTATTATTTTATATCGTTCTCATTTTTAATTTGTTCATCATCATTTCGTGAATAATTCATTTTATTATTTACACTGTTTACTTTTTTTTAAATGGAAATATATTTTTTGTTTTTTCTTTTTTTTTTCTTTCATCCCTTCTTCTACTTTTATTTAACGAATAAACGTAATAGTTTAGTTTATTTATTTTAATTTGTAATTATTTTTGAATATTTTCATGATAACCACGTAGTATATAACGTTTTGACCGATTTTGAATTTTTCATTGACCAAATTCAAATAAAAACCTATTCACAAATGCAAACTTTTATTTACAACGAAAACGCATTCCTGGTTACTACTTGTGAATATTTAATCACACGATTTGATTCATTTCTAGATAAAGATTTTTTACGTGAATAAAAAATATATAAATATATCTCTCTAGAGTGTTTTAGTATTTAATAAATAATTTCTTTATGAAAAAAAAAGACTTAATTTTGATATAAATTTTATAAATCGATATTAAAGTTTTTTTTTTTTTTTTCAATAATTTTAAAATACAAAAAATATTTCGGTGAAACAATATTATCGATTGCTAATAGTTATTCGCATAATTTTTTTTTTCTTTATTTTCCATATATATATGTATATTTTCTTTTTTATTTTTTTTTTTCATATTTTCTTTTTCTTCTTATTTTGTTGTCGCGTTAGAGAACATTTTTATGATGTGCATTAATCGATCGATATCGAGAAATATGAGAGAGAAAAAACAGAAGGATAACAACCTAGTTGTTCATTTTATGCTTTGAGAAGAAGAGATTGCTGTTAAAATTTTGTCAACACATGCTTTCAAAAGCCGTAATAAAATCTTCACGTTAGTTTTTATAAATCATTTATGGTTGTTTTTCTTTTTTTTTTTTTTAAAGTTAAACAATGTGACGGTATTTTTAGAACATTCTTATAATTAACTTTATTTTTATTTATCAATTTATTTATTTTATTTAAATAAAAATATCTTCACATGGATAAAAAGACAATTAAAATCAAACCTAAAGTTCAATATTTTCGTAACGTTACCAAATATCGAGTAATTTTATTTATAAAAAGATTGATCACACGTGTCTTGTAATAAATTACAAGAAAAAATAAAAACAAAATAATAATAAATAAAAAAGAATGTGATCACTTACCTAATTTAATTCCGTTAGATTTGTTACGAATATTTTTCACGTAGTAGATACACTTTGATTTTGTTTTAATTTCACTTTGTGCACTGATATTAATATAAATATATAGAGATACAGATACAGATACAGATACAGATACAGATAATTTTTATATTTGTATATTTATTTTTATTTCTAACGATAAAACTTCGGCGAATTAATAACGTGATATTAAGATCAGAGAGATGCGTAATGTAAAAAAGAAAAAACGAACTTTTACTTTTATTTTATCTTTTTATTTTTTTTTTTTTTTTCAAATAGTTTTATTAGTAAAAGCAATAGGACCCGGTGTGGTATAAGGTGTCTAATGGCAACTGGTGATGCGCGTCGTTCTTCTTATATGCTACCGGAAACTCGATTGCGCAAAATCGCCCCCTTTTTTTTTTAGTTTCGCAAGCTTCATCACGCATTTAACCTCCCACCTTACTTATACCCCTTTTTCATTCTAACTTCATACATTCCTATCCATTCATTAGATTTTATCGTTCTCGCTTTTACGATTTTTTGTTGTTGTTGTTGTTGTTGTTTTGTGTGTGATTTCTATTACTGGATTTATTAACCCATTCGTATCTGTGAATTGTTTTTATATTTTTCTTACTCTCTCTCTCTCTCTCTCTCTTACTTTCTTCTTTTGTCTCTTAATACTTGTTTTTTGTTTTCTTTTCTTTATTTTTATATTTTTCGAATAAACGTCATGAAACACTTTAACTAAGAAGAAAGAACAAAAGGTTGTTGGGGGATGGGAATAAATGGAAATCAATTTTTTTTTTTTTTAAATGCATCAAAAATATCAAATGCAAGTATTTTATCTACGTTTGTAAATGAAATTAGTTTTTAAGTGAGTATTAAATTATCTTTGTCGTTATTAATTTTTCATTTCTCATAATTGTTTATATTACTACCATTACGTTATTAAGAGGAATTATCTTAAGGATATGATAAAAAGAAAAACAAAAAACGGGTTATGCTAATAATATTTTTCTATAATACGATAATAATGTGAATTTTTGTATAAAACACGTGTTACACGTTTTACAAAAGTCTATCATAGAAGCTCCTATATATATATATATATATATTTTTTTTTTTTTTTTTCATATAAAATTTTGCTTTTTTATATGTTGAATTATTTCTATATATCAAGGTTCATGTACCTACGATATCGAATCGACTATTTGAATCGACTGTTCATCAATTTTCAGGATTCGACTAACGGGATCGAATTTGTTGCAAAATTTATACGGTTAGGTTGGATTTTACGATTTTACTTCAAAATTCAAAGACGCGTTTGAATGTTCTCGCGTAACTGGTGCATGAAATATTTATAAAAGTTACAATTTTACTTTTATTTTTTTTTTTTATTTTTTTGAACCTTTTTATTTTTTTTTATTTTTTCTACTCGTAGGAGAAAACATTCGGCAATAATATTCATCGATTTCGTTTCATTGTGAAAACATTTTTTCTAATATACGCGTATTTAAATAACAATCGAAATATTTGTATAAAAATAGATGAATATTAAATTACAGTTAAAAAATAAAAAGAATTTAAAATATTTAAATTATCTAATTATTAATATTATTTTTGAAGCTGTTTTTTTTTTTTTTTTAATAATAATAAACGAGATCACTTTTTGCAATTTTCATTCATAATATTTCTAAAAAAAAGTTGCAAATTAATTATAAAAAAAAAAATTACAAGGAGAAAGAGAAGAGGGTAGGGGGTGTAGCATGTGGTGATACGATACTTAGAAATATTATTTCTTTCTCATTGAAAGATCACCGCGTTCGTGTCGGTCGTAAATTTAAGTCGAGTTAAGTCCACGAGTTAAATTTCTTTAGAAAATATAGTCAATGTCATGGCCTCCTGATGACAAAATCTGTTATAACTTCGTCTAATATTTTTAATAAGTTAATACAAGTCTTGAACTAATTTATGAGTACATTAAAAAAAAAAAACAAAATGTGATTATAAAATATATAATAATAATAAATTTTTTTCGTACAATGACACACGATTAAAGTTGTATAATTAACCCTTTGAGTGCTATGGACGCATATATACGTTTGGTGAAAATTATCAGAGTGGTCTATCGATGCATATGTGTTTGTTTATATTAATGTAAAATAATGTAATGTTTATATTAATTAATTAAATTATATTAAATTTAATTTAAATAATATTAAATATATTTAACAAAATATAATAAAAATAAAAATTATTTATAAATTATATTTAATTAATATATAAAAACTTTAATTATTAAATATAATTTATTATTAGAATCTAGTTAATAATAAACAATTGCGTTTCTACAAAATATTTTAGTTAAAAGTATTCAGCACTCAATGGGTTAATTGATATTTTAATATATCATTTAATTGAATTTATTGCATTATAATTATTTCATTTTAATTTAATGAACATATTTCTAATATAAATATATAATTAACAAATATATAATAATTAAATAATTTGCCTAGAATTTTTTTTTTAAGGAAAGTAATGCTTGTATAACTCATCACGTGTTATATTCATACATCTAGTGAAGTAATGATAATAAAAATTAAAAAAAAAAAAAAAAAAAAAATACATAAAAAGGAAAGAAACGACAAGATTATTTTGAGTTATTGAATTTAAACGTATATGTTAGAAGAGAAATTAATAATATCATGGTGCACTGAACAAGAATGACACATAGTACACGAGATTAATTCCGTTCAATTGGTTTTGTACATGCGAATGCTTCTCTTTAGGATTGACATTCTTCAGATGTTAAAATTCAATGCTACTCGTATTAATGGAAGGGAAGTATATGCTCATAAATGTAAATGTGCTTGAAAAAAAGTAAAGTATACAACAAAAAAGAAAAAAGAATGAAAGAGAGAAAGTACGAGCATGTGTGTGTATATATTTGTATGTGTCGGGGTATTAGAAAGAAAGAAATAATTATTTTTCTATCGCATCATCATCAATTGAATCGCACACATATGTTACACACATATATTATTATTTCTTAACGTTACTTATTTATTCTCAGTTGTTTATTTTTACAATCTTTTTGTAATACAACTTTGTATAATTTTTATTACTACGTAATTCAGATTAGTTTGAATTGTAACCAAAAATGATTGCAACTACAACATGTCTTTGTTCTCTTTATATTAATATATTATAATATTTTATTATTTATAATAATATTATTAATAATTTATATTAATAAATTATATTTCAAACAAAAAAAAAATTAAAAGCAAGGTAAAACATTTTGTTGTTATTCAAAATAGAATATTATTAGCGAGTATATTATCGTTTATTAAGATTTTTAATAAGACGAGTAATCTTTCGTTCAAAATTCATTGCCCATTCAGATTTAAATTAATTGTCTTTTAAAAGATTACTCAAATACATTTTTTTACCTCTAGCTATGTAAAACAAATCATTTTTTTTAAATAATTCTTCAAGGCTACTCCTATGATTTCTTTGAAACATGTTTCTATCGTTTTCCATGATAAATTTGATTAAATCTTTGCATAGTTCGATATTGCATACACCAGAATTGAACAATCGTTGATAAATTTGTTTAGCAGTCTCGATAGAATCCAATGATTCATTATTATCTATTAATTCCTGTTGATCATTATACTTCAATGTTTTTTTACCTCTGGAAATGAAGAATGGTTCTTCGAGTATGTCGTAAATGTCCGAATGTTTGTCCCTTCGTTTGACATAATTAGAATCAAGTATTTCCCTTTCATCATTTTCCATCAAACGAATATTCTTTTGAGAATGATCGATAGAAGAACAATCGATATCATCGCAAGAATTTCTTTTCGTTCGTTTATTCGATAATGTCACGTTATCATTCGTTTTATTTTTTAACAAAGTACTTACATTTGTATTAATCGTCGTACTGTATGTTGGTACGTCAATTATCGTACGTTTTTTCATATTTTCCATAGTTTCTTTTTTGAAATTTGTATTCAACGACAATTCGTATAATTTTTTTCCACGAGTTAATACAAATGGTTCTTCAGTTTTTTCAAAATTACGTACCAAATCTTTCAATTGACGTGTGTCAAGTTTCAAAGTTTTCCTTCTGTCATCTTCCTTTCTTTTGAAATCATTTTTTTTCATCCTATTGTTTTTACCTTCAACGAATTCATTCGTTTTTCCAAGAAACTTATCATCATTATTTTCCTTTTCTTTGTAGTAATACAGATTTTCTAATAATACCGAAGATTGTCCTTTGTTCTTTGGTATAAACGGTCTTTTTCCACGCGTCACAAAAAAGGTATCCTTTTCGTTACGTATATCATATGGTATATTTTCTTCATAGTCTAATTCCATTTCAATCCATTTTGGTTCATCGACGTAAAACGGTTTAGGTATTGACCATTTCTCGATTTGTCTACGATACTTTCTAGAATTACATTTTCTCATTGATTTATTACAATCGTTCATTGACGAAAGATCGAACAATATTTTTAAACTTGGTGAACATTTGGATTTTTTTAAAATTGATTTAATTTTATTTGAATTTGTCTTCGTTAAATCGTTTTGACTGAAATCAACGAAAAACATTTGATTCTATTAATAGATTATTATTATTATTATTATTTTTCTATTCACGCGGGTGCGTATGTTACTACTGGACACTAATTTCAAATCACTTTGACTTTACCTAGTCCCAACATCCGAAAGTTTTTCCAAATCGAAGCTTTTACGATCTTGTCTGTTCTCATCCTCACGGGATGAACTACGTTCTATTAAGTTAGGATGAATATCCTCCCAAAGGGCTTGACCAGTTTTCTCGTTAACCCAGGATTGTTTTTCTACATCGTTGAAAGGTATTCTACGAAGATATTTTATCTGTAGAAAAGAAATAAAAAAAAAAAAAAAAAAAAAAAAAAGAAACATTACAAAGGACTTGTTATTTTATTTTTATTTTTTCCTTAGCTAGATAATATTATATACAATTTTCGTTTTTATTTTTATTTTACTAACCTCCAGTCCTTTGGTTGTCACCATAACTAGTAATAATATTATCACAGTGACCATAGCTTTTCTCATATCTAAAAACGAATCATGATTTCAATTTCTTTAAATTGATTATACGCGAGTGACGACTACGACGACAACGACGACGACTTTGTCAAATTATATGATGAAAAATTTAACCCCGACCTTTCTTACAATCCCACTCTTATTCTTCCTCCTATCATTCTAATATTAGATATGTAAACATTGTTCTTTGATAGTAGTAGTAAGAATTGCACAGTGCATGCGTGGTTGAGAAAAAGGCAATGCGTAAACAAGTTAGATGGCCATAAGTGTTTTTCTATGATTTTCACGTGATAATGGAATGAACAATATTGTTTAAAAGATAATCCTTTTCTTTTCTTTTTTTTTTTTTAAAGTCTAAAGCCACGATTAAAATAAATCTTTGAAGAAACGTTGGTTTGTTTTCACGTTGAAAATTAAAATCTACGAAAATGTGGGACGAGTTTCGAATAAATTCAGTTACTTGGTTTAAGAACTTGATTTAAGGTTAAAATAATAAAATATTTAATTAAATGACGAAATGATTGTAAGAAATAGAAAAAATAAACAACAATCTGTTAGTTAAAATGATTCTTCGTTACGTGAATTTGTGTTCGATTTAAAAAAACAAAACAAGAAAAACAAGAAAGTATTGAAATTTTTCCGATCCATACTTAATCATGCACGTGACTTAATTAACAATTGCGTTTTTAATAATGATGATTTTAGTTAACCCTTTGAGTGCTATGGACGCGTATATGCGTTTGGTAAAAATTACTAGCGTGGTTCTTCGACGTATATATGTATTTGTTAATATTGTATATTAACAAATTGTATATAGTAATATTATTACTATATAAATATATAGTATTATTGTATATATAATAATGTAAAATATAATATAACGTTTATATTAATTAAATTAAATTATATATTCACACATAAAGAAAAACTTTAATTATTAAATATAATTTTTTATTAGAATTTGGTTAATAATAAATTATTCCGTTTCTATAAAACATTTTAAGTAAAAGTATTCAGCACTGAAAGGGTTAACCCTTACTATACAGTAATCCTGAAACGTAATATCAATCACTGTATAACATAAAGTTGGATTATTAATTCACGTCAGATTACCAAAAATAAAGCAAAATTGGTAAAATGGGAGGATGGAATGATACATTTAAAAAAAATAAAATAAAAAACCCTGTATGTTGACTCCCAAAAGGTGGTAAAATTATTTAATAATATCGGAAAGGTATGATAAAATAAGGTATTCATATAAAAGTGAGACTCGAATCGTTACACACTGTATATATATATATATATATACATATGTATATATGTAATAATATAGTACTTGTTTTTTTCATTCGTTCAGTACTCTCTAAATAAACTTCTAACATAATAAGTAGACCGATAAACAACGTCATTGGGGCGTTTCTCAGTAACACTACTACGACGTATGTTCTCTTGTCGATAAAGTAAAGAATATCGTGCAAGATAAGTGATACACATTGGCGATAAGTCGGACGTGTTTTAAGTGGAATGACTTCGCCACGCTCGATCAGCCGCTTAAGTGAAACGAGTCAGGTTTCAGTCAGACTAAACTAACCCATCCCCTTTTTCTCTCTCTCTCTCTCTCTCTCTCTCTCTTTTTATCTCTTTTTGTTCTTCTTTTCTGATCTTTTTTTTTGTCTGCTTCTTCGTACCTGTTGCTCCTTCAAGTTTTGTTTTCTTCTCAATTTCTTCCTATCTTTTTATTTGCTTTTTTGTTTCTTCTTCTTCTTCTTCTTCTTCTTCTTCTTCTTCTTCTTCTTCTTCTTCTTCTTCTTCTTTCTATTTTTTTTTTCTTCTACTTTGAACTTTTAACTTTTTAACGCGAAACAACAACGATTAGAACACGTTGGAATCCTCGAAGAGAATGCCACGAGCGACATTATTTCAAGTGTATTTATGCTACTTCCATTTCTCTTCTTTTTACCATTCCATTGTGAAATAATTTACGTTGCGGTTCGAAGATTTGGTGAATTGCATTGGGAATATTCTGGCCTTTCTTTCTACTATAACGCGAAGCCCACGTCAATCTTCTCTGGTCAGCAAGTACAAACACAAACACAATGTTTCTTCTTGCGTTATATACACATACACACACACACACACGCTCGACAATCGAATCTTGTATATTTAGGTTTGTTTTAAGGGAAATATGCGTTTCTATACAGGGTGATCGTTGATTACTTTTTTTTTCTGTCTCCATTATGTATGATTTTTTCATTTTTGAAAAAGAAAATAATTATTTGAATGTAAATAGAATAATTCATTACAATGCAATTATCGTAAAAAAAAAGAAACCATGTTGTTGCATGAATTAAATTTAATTTAAATTAGGGGTATATATATATATTTTTTTTTAATTTAAATTTAAGAAATTAATTAGATCGAGAAGAATTCTACTGTTTAACAAAATATTTTCTTATTTTATAATATTTATAGAATTATTATTCTTTCATTGTTCTTTCTTTCTTATTTTTTTGTTTTTCAATAAGATAAGTAATATTGTTATTATATTTATTATTATATATTATAATTATATTTATTATTTTATATATATATATATATATATATATATATATGCGAGGGATTTGGTTAATACATCATTTAGATCGTCGTATATTTCAAGTGAATATTTTGTTTGTTTATAAAAATAAATTGTACGTCGACTTAATGATTAAAAACGAGAAGAAAAATAATTTCTAAAGCTTTACCGAGAGACACCCTGTATATATATCTGTATTACGTATAAACCGTTTGCCATTTTTCTTTACTCATGGGATATCATCGGTGGACTTCACGTCTGATGTGAGAGCTAAGAAAATTTTGATTATTGAAATAGTAGTAGAATAGAATATTTCTTTTATACGCGTGTATCTGCAGTTATGGATTCAAACATCGTAAAATTATAGTAATAAGGGCCTGATGTGTATTGTAATTATAAAACGGACGGATTTAAAATAACATTTTAATCATTTAAAAGAACAAACAAAAATAAAACTAGAAGAATAAGGAAAACAAATATATATAAAATAAATATGTAATCAAATGTATAAAATATATCAAATTACTAAGGGTGCCCTGCCACGTGTTGCTGTGGCTCACAATCAGTCTGATACACACGTCTTAGTGTGTATCGACTGTTGTTAGTTAACGAAATTACCTTATACCGCCATCTGTTAGAATTTTATCGAACTAACAGGGATAATCATGACTCTTTGTTAATAAACAAATAATTCGCAATAAAATAATATTGCGATTATAAATTGAGATATAAACTATCCTATCTTTCAAGTTGGATGAAACTGCGCACAGTGTGTAAAATTTTATTAAAATCGGTTCAGTAGTTTAAGAGTCCATTGCGGACAAACAACGTGACACGTAATTTATATATATTAAGATAATATATAAAATAAATATGTAATTAAATGTATAAAATATATAAAATAATAATATATAAATAAATATGTTAAATATATAAAATAATAGTATATACAGTTCTAGAATAAAGGTAAGAAAATATTTTTAATATAAACCAAATATATACAATAAATATACATATAAATAAATATATAAAATTCTAAAATAAAAATAAGAAAGTATTTTTAATATAAAAAAAAAATTGTAAATAGATCTTTTATTATTTCGTTATTTGTACTTAAGCTTTTTGGTTGTCTATTTCCTTTTTTTTTTTTATTTTGTTTATATTTTATTTTATTTTAACTTCCTTTCTCCTTCTTTCACATTTTCTTCTTTTTTTGTCTTCTTATTTTTTTTATCTTTTTTTTTTCCTTTTTTTTTTTTGCAAGTAATACGATTGACAAGATAAGTTCAAAACAAAGTGCTAGTGCGCTAAAGCTCATTACCCTTTCCCTGAAATATCGTCGATTATTTTTCCCGACGTTTTAAACGCCATGTTTTTGATATTTCACGACAGGATCTTTTTTCTTTATAAGTTTTTTATTTTTCATTTTTATTTTTATTTTATATAACCTTCTTCCATAACGTGTGATAAAAAAGAACAACGAAAAAAAAAAAAAAAGAAAAATATACGTTTGAGAAAAGTTCAAAGATCATTCATTCGTATTAACATAAATAAAAAATATACCTCGTAGAGCACCGAACGTTTAGGTATAATTCTAAATATGACGAACTTGGTTCGTTTAATTCGAATGTTCAAATACGTCTGATATATGTATCCCCTTGATTCATTTGTTTTACGATTATTAAAATGGGATTTTACCTTTTTGTACGAGACGTTTGACAGCAACGACTAAACCTGAATTATTTTCCCCATGTAATTCTAAATAAAGTTGATCACACATCAACATATTCGTGCACATATTTAGGAATAATATAAAATGTAACTAGAATAACCTACACAAATTTTAAAAATAATTATGATAATAATAATAATAATAATAATAATAATAATAATAATAATAATAATAATAATATAATAATATATAATAATATTTATTATTATAAAATTAAATTTAAAAATAAAATTTAAATTAAAATATAAAAATAAATAAATTAAATTAAATTAAATAGAAAAAAAATAAAATAAAATAAATTAAAATTAATTTACAATAAATATTATATAATAATAATATTATTATATAAAATTATAATATTATAATATCATGTATTAATTAATGAATTAAAAATATTAGTAATAAATTAGTAAATTTGTTATTAAGTAAATTTATTGTTAACAAACAAATAAATAATTATATTGTTAGGATTTAATTTCTGTAATTTGTTTCAGTTATCAATAAAAACCTACGAGAGATTGTTTGAACAAAATTAAATCAAAATGGTAAGAAAGGAAAAAAAAGATCTTTTAAATATTATTTTATAAAATTGTTAATTTAATTGTTAATAATAATTATGAATTTTGCAGAAATTTCGATTTTTGGGAGACGGTGATTGTCCCGATTGGCTTTTAGCAGAAATTAATACACTCTCACGAATGGTTCGTATTGAATTATTTTAAACGAAACATTCATTAACTTTTCATTTATATATATTACGTTATATATATATATTTAATAACATAATATTGAATTTTGTTTTATACAGACATCAATTAAAATGAAAACCTTAGGACAAATTGTTATGAAGTCATTGACGGAAGGAGAATTGGATGTAAGTAAAATACAGTATAAACATTATTTTAAACTTTTTATTGAATATTTTCACTTTTGCCATGCTGCATTTGATTAAATGTCATTTACATGCCATGTTTATCTGAAATTTTACACGCTGTTATATAAAGATTTAATATATTTAAAAGATGTCACATTCTCTATTTTTTTTCATTCTATGCTTAAAAATTATATTTTCGTTATTTTCCAATATTACAAATAATTGTTAATGAAAAAAAATTCGAGAATAATAATAAAAAAAAAAATAAAATAAAGCAACGAAACATAATTCCATGCAATATGGTGTGTAATTGTAACAGTGTATGTGTAAAATAATATAATATTTATTTATAATGATTTTATTTTTGTATTTTTACGTATCAATGTATTTCGTTGAAATTAGGGGTGGAAAAAAAAGATGGTTCGTTGAAACAATCATCGTTAAATATTGTCACCCTTATTTTTGATATCTTGTTCAATGTTTTAATATTAATTTGTAAATTTTATTTGTAGCAGATAAAAAATACAACTGTTTTTTTGTTGTTGGATTATTATCATTATCTTTTTCTAATTTATGTCATTTTTTTATTTGATGGTGTGAATAAATTTTCATTGTGTTTGTTATTGTTATTTTGTTTTGCTATTTTATAACCCATATAATACCATATTTTTTCTATTTCATAATTTCACTTTAATCACCGATGATTTATCAGAAATTATTGTTTGTTTTACATAATCATTTACTTTTATTCTTATATGCATTGTTTATGAATTATTTATTAAATTATTATTAGAAATTGTTGAAACATTTTTACAAATAACTCATTACAATTCCACATATTTAAAATCACATATTTTAATAAGATAATTACATTAAATATATATGTATACTTATTTATTTTATTTGCATTAATTTGTAGGAAGAGAAAATAAAAAAAATCACACAGGATGCAAAGCTCGGTAAGTTTAAGCTTTGATTTTTAATAATAACAGATATTAATCATTATTAAAAAAAAAAAACAATACCATATTTACTATCAAGTAAACAAAATACAAAATATAAGCAAATTGTTTAACGTTGAAATAAAAAAAAAAGGAAGTGAGATGATCATTACAGAGAGAAAAACCAAACAAAGTGCTTTTTCTGCGAAGATATGAGCGATGCAAAAGCTATGATAGCAGCTTTGGAATTGATCTTCACATCATCAGCACGTTATGGTGTATCTGCAGCTGATTTGAGTAGCGAATTGCAACAATTGGGTCTTCCAAGGGAACACAGTACGGCTGTTGCAAGAATTCACACAGATTCTTGTTCACAACTTACAGCTACTCTTTCGTCTCAATCTTTGAGAGGTTACATTTTGTATTCTCATTTATTTTTATTTTTTAATAATAAATTAAACGTGATACGAAATCTAGTATCTAGTAATTATAGTATTTATTATTATATATATATAATTATAGTATACTATTATTATAGGTAATTATAGTATAATAATTAGTATATTATTAGTAATAGTGCTACTGTATAATAGTATACTATAATAATATGTAGTATATAATTATATATAGTATATATTATACTATATATAATAATAATTATATATTATATTATATATAAATATAAAATATAAATATATATTATACTGTATTATTATATATAGTATAATATAGTAATATTATAATAGTAATATATAGTAATATATAGTATAATATATATTACTGTATATTACTATTACTTCTAATATTAGTACCATTTAATATTTATTACTCGATAAGAAACAAAAGACAAAAAAATAATGAATAAAATTTATACAAATAATAAATACAACATAATTTATTATATAATATATTAATAAAGAATAAAAATTGAATAAACTTAAATATATATATATATATATATATTTATACAGTGAGCCGTTTATCATCGATCAAAGTTGTATCCTGCGACAGTTCTTCGCCATTTTCAACAGTCAGCTTGAAAGTTAAGAAATTAGAAGGAAATGAAGAAGAATCTACGATTAATATTTCCAAGAATGACGTACAGGTTTTACTTACGGGTAAAATTTTCATAACACAATCTTATTTATCAATTATATTACAATTATTAAATTATTTTAATCAACGTATAATAATATATTGAGTTTGTTTGAAAAGTAATTTCATTGTTCTTTTGTGAAAATGAAGACAATTTTTGTATCGAAGTTAAATCTAGGCCTTTCAAGTGGACATAAAAAGTTGAATTTGATAAATTTAAAGTCTTACCGATCTCACGTGTTGTTATTTGCCAGTTTGCATCAACTAATGCAACTTTATTGTATCAGAAAAAAAAACAAAATTATTTTCCGAACAACCCAATATATTACTTGACATTAATAAAGAATTATTATTTCAGAACTTAAAAGGGCTCGTACGTTGATGGAAAATCTTTGAAAGAAAAATAAAAAACATATGACACTTTATTTAATCTATCATATAAGAAACGTGAAATGGTTTCGTTCAACGAGATTGACATTTTTGTGATGATACGTGCAATCAAGATCATTGAACGATAATTGCAATTATCAATAGAGAAGAAGAGAAGTAGGGGTGGAGTGAATCGTCGTTAAAATGATGAAAAGAAAAAACGATTTTTTCTTCGTGAATACAATTGTAAAGATGTTTAAACTAAAACTCAAATGAGATCTTCGGCGATCCGTCGAATAATTTATCTTTATTCTCTTTGTAAATGAATATACAAAGTTTACATTTAGTTTAATGGTTTATACGATGCACTTGAATAATATTCATACATTGTGACAATAATAATGTCGCCGTTTATTATAACTGCGCTTTATCTCGTTTCTTCGTTATTATTTCCTCCGCTTTTCACTTGTCGTTCCTCTCACTCTCTCATTCTCATTCTCATTCTCTCTTTCTCTCTCTCTCTCTCTTTCTTTCTTTCTTTCTTTCTCTCACATGTTCTCGTTCACTATCTCTCACCTTCACACAACAATTCTTATACATCATTACTCATTGTCGTCCTTAGTACGATTGGAATGATCGGAGCACGTGGTGTTAAAGATCTTATCAACGATTTCAGCGTTTAAATCACGAAGGAAAATTCTTAACTAAGCGAATTAATTAAGAATTACCTTAAAAAACGTATTTGTTTTTTTTTTTTTTTTTTTTTAATCATCGTATATCATCGAATTGCTTTGTTGCATCAGCCTTCGTTCTCATTTCATTGAATTTCATTCGATTCTTTAGAGANGTGAATTTGTATTTTTTTTTTCTTCTTCATTTTTTTGGTCGTCTAAAAAAGTATCCGCTTTTACAGTTTTCTTTTCTTATTTTTTTTTTTTTTTAATCATCGTATATCATCGAATTGCTTTGTTGCATCAGCCTTCGTTCTCATTTCATTGAATTTCATTCGATTCTTTAGAGACGTTGCAATGCAAATCTAACGATAATAATAATAAGAAGAAGAAATAATAAAATAAAGAACAAATAAAAATAATAATAATAATAATAATAATTGTAGTAATTATTTATCAGTCGAAAGAGGGTTAGATAGCGTGATTTTAACGATGCAACTGAAAAATATTGTATAAAAAATATACATACATATATAATATATATATATTTTGTATATAGGCCCAAACATTTCGACAAATTACTTAACGTATAATCAAGCGTGCTATTATTTATTATTTTTGATATTCGTAAATTAGAATCTCTCTTGTCACATTTTCATGATTTATGTTTTTATTTTCCAAGTTAACACATTACGTCCCATGTGCTGCACATATTTGTGTTTCATTGAACTTCACGAAAATCCCATGTTGCACATATTTGTACGTTTTATTAAATTTGACACTCAAACACTTGTATATGACAAAGAATTTCTGAAGCTAAAAAGCATTTCAAATATAATTATTTATTTGTTAATTTGTCCCAGTACTAGAAGAAGTTTTAAAAATAATAAATTGGGAAGTAATGTGTTAAGAATATCAAGAAGAACAAGGTGGTATGAAGATGATCGATTAATCAATCGATTTTTCGTACAATGGACAACGATGCTGTTCTTAGCAAAACGAAGGATATATTTTAAAGAAATTCGTAGAATGGAATACCTTTGGCATCGTGTGCTCCTAGAGTATTCTGAGCGCGCAAAGCGGATAGTGTTAATTGTAAATTTGAATAAATACCAAAGCTAGTCTAATCAGTCTTTATACAATTATTCGTACACATTTTCTTTCTCTATCTCTTTCTCTCTCTCTCTCTCTCTCTCTCTTTCTCACTTTCTTTCTCTCTCTTTCTTTAAATTTCTCTCTTTCTCTCTCTCTTTCTCTCTACATCCATTCGATTCAATCATTAACTATTTACAGTATTTGAAATGGGTTGCTCGCGAACGACCTATGGATGTATTTATGTATGTATGTATGTTTTGTATGTATGTATGTATATATGTATATTTTTCTTGTCTTTTTTTTTTTATTAAACAGCACTCTTTCGCGGTTATACCTTCGCTTTTAAAAAACGCGATACTCGGAGGGCCCAGAACGGTCCTTTTTCTCGACGTTAATTATACTTTATTAAAGTGTAAGATCTATTATTATGTGATTAGAGAACTTGGCCGATTAGAAACGGACTTCATTTTTGTTTGTTTGTTTTTTTTTCTTTTACGAACGAACTTTTGTAACACGTTTTTTTCTTTTTTCTTTTTTGGATCGTATGCCCATGAAGCACCCTCTTTTTCTGTCGTTTTCTTTTTACTTATTGGGTTTTTGTCTTTCTTTTTCTTTTCGTTATTTTGAAGAAGTTGTTTCGGAAGATCATATGATATATATACATATGTTGTGTATATATATATATATTGGATTTAATAATATGGAGTTCGGAGCCATCCTTTTTTTTTGTGGACAATGTGTGTGTCTCTACCGTTGTAATCTAAGTTTTCTCTAGTCGGATATCTAAGAAAGGAGACGAGGACAAATTTTTATGATCGTTGACACTGACGACACGCTAAACGTGGTAAAAAAATAATTCTACGAGAGTCGTGCCTACCATTAGCACATTTTCTCTCTTTATCTTTCTTTCATTCTTTCTTTCTTTCTTTTTTTCTCTATCTTTTTGTTGGATTTAGAAGATTAGAATTTGATGATTTCACGTCGCTGCAATTTTTATATTTTCTTTTTTCTTTGTTTCTCTTTCTTTTGTTTTAAACGCTCAAAAAAGTTGCGTTTATCAAAAGATAGATGATTTTATTCTCTTACTATTTTTATTTGAAATCATTTTTTTTTTTTTTTTTTATTATTTTGTAGACAATACAATTATTATATTATATCTTTTTTTTTTTTTTTTTTTTGTAAACTTTTTAGAATATAATTGTGAATATATATAAAAAAAAAAAAAAATGAAGATAATTAAGATTGAAATTCATGAAATTTTAGCAGCGACGCGATTCGCAACACACAAGGGAAGAGTAAAAGTTTTCTTTTGCATTTACAAAAATTCCTATCTCTTGTTTTTTTTTTCTTTTTTTTTTTCTAACATTGAAAGAAAAACGGACGTTAGCACATTATTATTATTATAATTTTAATTATAATTTTAATTATAATTTGCATTCGTTGAAAAGGGGATTCTTTGGAGAGTATTTTAAACATAAAATCTCTCTGTTAAATTGAATTTTTACGAAATATTTCAACATAATTTGATAAAGAATCCTTCAACGAGTACACACAGAGAAAAGACATATGTATACACACACATACACATTTATATATATACTATATAAGTGCTCGTCCTTATTACACAGAGAAATTCGTTGATAAAAATGTTGTTGTTGTTGTTAGTTTAAAGTGTTAGTTTTTTTCTTTGTTTTTTTTTTTTTTTCTATACCAGATATGAATGAAATTTACATATGTGTCGGTCTTTTTGAAAAATCTAGAAGAATAATTATGTTCATTTATCTATTTCGTTCATTTTACTATTTAAAAAAATGACATGGTTTTTTTTTTTCAAAAAGGACGATTTAAGGATGAAAGATTTGTCAGTAAAGAGTGTTCATTAGAATTAAATGTCCTTTTTTTTTTTTTTCATTTCTTTTCATTTTTTTTCTGATCAATACTTCTAGAAATATTGCCAAAGATTCCCGAGAAAAGTGTGAAAAATACATGGTCCTTGCGCAGATTGATGATATGTACAATCGACATGTCGAAGCGGCGTTTTTTTTCTTCTCTTATTTATTCTTTTTTGTTTGTTTTGTTTGTTTGTTTGTTTGTTTGTTTGTCTTCTTCATTGAAATCGTAGAAAAAATGTGTGCGTTTGACTCGACGCAATTAGTGATTGTGAATTTGTATTTTTTTTTTCTTCTTCATTTTTTTGGTCGTCTAAAAAAGTATCCGCTTTTACAGTTTTCTTTTCTTATTTTTTTTTTTTTTTTACAAACATAGAATACGCTAACTAAGCTACGAAGAAAATTTTGTATCAAAGAAGCTACTGCAATCCTTTTTCTTTTTTTATGCCGTCAGTTTTCTCATTTTGCTGATTATTTCTTTTTAGTCATCCTTCCTTCTCGTATCAAAGATTAATTCTTGTCATTTATTTTCTTGTTCTGTTTTTTTTTTTTTTTTTTTTTTTTTTCATCAATCATCGTTGAGTAGCTTTAACATTGTTTCATCCACCCTAAGAAATGTTATTTCCATTTTAAGAAAATGTTTTTTTTTTTTTACTATTTAGTGAAGTGTATCCTAAATCTCGTCGTAAACTAACTCTCTTACAGATTTGCACAGATTTTTTATTATTATTATTATTATTATTTATTTATTATTATTTATTATTATTATTATTATTATTATTATTTGTGTAATAGCTGCTCTCGTATTTAATCTCTACGTTTTCTTTTTTGTGTTATTATTATTTTTTTTTTATTTCATCTATTTAATTTTAATTTTTTTTTTTTTTAAATCATCGTGTTTAAAGTTGTATCTTCGTTACTACTGTCTTCATTATAGTCAATTTATAAATATTCGGTGCATGTGCTTCATAAAAATACTTTCGTTCTCATCGAAAAAGTGAATAAATCTCATTTCAATTAATCGATCTGGAAAAATAGTTTCTTCTTTTTTTTTCTTTTTTTTTTTTTTCATCTGGCATAAAGGATCGAATTTATGCTTGCCCCATTGTTCATATGGTAGGATATTTCGATTTGTATATTTTTTCTATTTCTAACGTATTCAATGAAATTCATCGTAAACATTGTCAAACGTGTTTAATTTTACTGTCGGGTTTAAGACAAAGATAGTAACTGTGATCTTTTGTTTTTTTATATTTCTTCTTTATGAAAATATGATAATATTAATTAACAACTTATAATTGCACGTAAAAGCGTGCGTTTAATTATACATTAATATTTCAAGAACAATCAAACACGATATATATATATTTATATAATAAATATTAATATATTAAATATTATTATATTAAATATTAATATTTATTTATATGTATATATATATATTTGTCTATAAAAATTAAACACGTTTTTACTGTCAAACAATGTAGAGTTCATTTTACACGTCGAAATACTAAATCCTTTTTTTCTTTCCTGTTTACCGCCATTGAGAAATCTTTTTGATCGGTAAAAAATTACGACAACTTCAAGTAGTATGAATTATTATTATTCTTTCTCGATTCTTTTTCTTTTTTTTTTTTTTTCAAAATACCAAGTGTGCTTTTTTAAGTCAACTTTTCTCATATTTCTTTTTTTTTTGTTTGTTTTTTTGTTCACGTTACTCGGCCATTTTATTTTTCTGGCACACATAACCTAGTTCTCCACAATTAGTATAATTTTCGATCGCGTGGTTCGTAAAAGCGATATTATATATAGTCGCGAAAGAACGCAATTTAACGAACGATAAATTTTCAATGCGAGTTTAGGTTAACTCCATTATTATTATTATTATTATTATTATTATACTTTTTTTTTTGTTCTTTTCTTTTTCTATTTCTGTTTCCTTTCTTTTTCATTTTTTTTTCGTTCTCATTTTGTTTTTGTTTTGTTTAACGACTTAAATGCAAGTGTGATTACCATCGGGGAATTAACATACGTTAGATAATATCTTTTTTCACCTCCCCCTCTTCCTCCTCCTCCTCCTCCTCCTCCTCCTCCTCAATCCCTTCTGCTCCCTTTTTTTTCTCTTTTTTTAATTTTAATGTGTGAAAAGGACGAAATAGCATGGCAGTCGATAAAATAAGTAAATACGAACGGAGATTTTTTGTAATTCTTACGATAATTGGCAGTTATCGTTCATTCCCTTTTTTACCACTTAACCCCTACCCCCCACCCCCCTCAACCCCCCCACATTAGCCATCTTCAATTTAATTAATCAAATCGTATACGCCGATATTGAGTAATAATACACTTTTGAGAAATTTTCTTTTCTATATTCTTTCTCCTTTTTTCTTGATTTTATTTTTTTATTTTTTTAAATTTATTTTTGTTTATTTTTATCAATCAATTTTTATTTCTGTCAAAATTTGTTGCTAGAGAAATTTGTTTTGTTTGCTTTTGTTCATTTGTTGTTGTTGTTGTTGTTGTTTTTTTCCTTCTCTTTTGTTTTGTTTTCTTTTCTTTTTTTTTTTTTTGTTTCTTTTTAAAGTAAATCAATCGCAAACGCAATTAAATACAAAAATCGAGATAAATTACTCTTATTAATTACACAATTGATATTATTAAAAATAATTAACAACGTGTTACGCAAGACTCGGCAATATGCGCAACACACACGATCGTTATTTTCTACATAGTTATATAACTATAATTAATGTCCATTATTTCCCCTTTCCCCTACCCCTTCCTTTCCCTATCCCCCACTGAAATTATTTTTCGGTGATTCTCATTTTATAGAAACGTTGTTTTTTTTTTTTTTTACGAATACCGTCCTACATACGTGCATATTACTTTGAGGATATTATTTTTTGTTTAAATCCACAATGAAATATTAATAAACAAATCACGTTGGTGCATTCAACGATGTATGCTTTTTTTCTTTCTCTCTCTCTCTCTCTCTCTCTCTTTGTTTATTTCTTTTCTTTTTGTTTTTTCATCTTTTTAACGACAAAACCATTTAAAATCGTTCCATTCTTAATTTCTTAAACATACGCAATATATATAAAGCATTAAAACGCGATTCAATCATAGAAAAGCATTTTTATCTTAACAATTAATCTATGTCGCGTTTTATTTATTTATTTATTTATTTATTTATTTATTGTATATACGTATAGGAATAAAAGATTCGTTCGTACGAAAGGGGAGTCATTGTTAATTTTTTTTTTCCTGATCAACAACGCACGGCATTGCTCGAGAAAAAAACAATAATAATAATAATAATAATAATAATAATAATTTAAATTTAAACAAATAATATCAAATAGACTAATTAATAATGGAAAAAGGAAAATAACAAAAGGAATTGGACATTTTGTCGGTCTCCCTTTTCGATCATTCTCGAATCAAATTTTTTGATGATCCGAAAAACAAGTGAAAAATAAAAATGACCAAACCCCCCCTTCTCCCCGAATGACAATATTATACACGTAGTAGTAATATAATATTAAACAAAATTTACAAAAATTATTAATAACTATCAGTAAAAAATAATAATAATAATAATAATAATAATAATAATAATAATAATAATAATAAATGTTTAATTAACGATACAAAAGATTTTATATGCTTACAACACGGATGACGCGAGCTTGATGAGCGTATTTCAAAAAAAAATCTCGCTCCCATTTTTTTTCTTTTCTTTTCTTTTTTTTTTCTTTGTTTATAATTATTAACTATACTTAATTCATTCTATACACGCGCACGAACCTTATTTTTTAAAGCGATACGATTAAATCTTTAATTCTTGTGTCTGTTTGTTTATCTCTGCTACATATCTGTCTGTCAGTCCGTTCCGTTTGTCTGTGTGGTGTGAAATTTGCGTGTGTGAGTGTGTCTTTTTTTGTTTTCTCATCATTATCATAACACATTGTATATAATTATGCTTCATTTCATTTACGTTATCTTCTTTTCTTCCTTCTCTAATAATTTTTTCCAACATTTAAACACGTGGCACGTAACCCTCCCCCCCCCCCTTTGTTTATACATCGAACACTTTTTCGTAATAATAATGATAATAATTATCATTATCATTGAAACGCAAAAGATTTATCATAAATTATAAATATATCTTAGCGAATGGAACTCGAGATTATGGGAATAACTTTTCACGATGACTAAATTTGAAAATTATTATTACGATGATCAATCAACAACCCCTTTTTTTTAAAAATCAACGTTCATCTATTTTTTTTTTTTTTATTGCAATTGCATTAAATAGTTATTACATTTATTGTGATCACAAATACGGGATATGTCAACGAGAGAATCGTTATATTTTATTCATTATACTTCCTCCCTTAAATATTATTATTATTATTACTATTATTATTATTAGTATCATTATTATTATTATTATTAGTATTAGTATTATTATTATTATTAGTATTATTATTATTATTATTATCGTTAATATTTTCATGATAGCCACCGCGCCAAGAAAGTTAAAAATTCTGGAAAGAATTTTCATATACAATTTTTCAGAAAAAATGATGCGAGTGGCAAATGATTGACATGATATGTTGACTGCATTATTTATGAATTCAAAAGATTGAGTCTGAAAATACAATAATTTCGAAGACCATCCTCGCAAGCGTTTTCTATCTATGACGACGATTAAAATCTGCTAGCAGAGAGATACGTTTACGAGATTAGATGAACGTTGATCGAACACAGAATAGTTTTAAGTCATCCTGAAAAGTCAATTCATCTCGAAAGTATGTGTGAAGACTATTCATTTATTTTTCCTCGCATCGTTACTTCTTCGACCTTGGGTCTACAAGAAGTGTCCTATCGATGCTTTTATATCTAATGCGTTCTACGCAAAGCGTTTCATAAATTCGAGTCCTTTATTGGGGAATCATATTAAAATCTAGATCCATGCAAGGATCATCGCAGTGTCAGTAAGAACACGACGAGAAATTGCACCACCAGTTCCTCTAGAAAATAATATTTCAGATTGAGGAATCTGTCACATTTAATGTGGCAAACATGTATCCGAGTCTCCGCTACTAGCCATTGAAAAGTTAGCCGAGTCTCGATCGCTCTGTTGTCTGATCTGAGCTGTTACCGACAACTTGTTGTTGTTTTGTGGTGCTTGCGGGAAGGTATGGTGACCTGGCAAAGCCCAAGGCTGAGTATGTAGTTGAACAGGTGGGAACCTTTTAACGAAAGGATTACCAGGACCACCGTGTATCAGCCTTACACCGTTGTGATGTGACGGTAACGTCGTATGAGCTGGTACAGTCGCGTGAACCTGTGGTGGTACAAAGGTGTGTCTTGGCACGGATCCACAGCTCCCTGTAGAACCGCTCATGTTCGTGCCAGCCATACTGTGTGATGCATGTGGTAATGGCATGGTGGAACAATGTGGATAAGTAACGATTGGTTGTGTTGGGTAATGGGGTAAGGTAGCTGAAGATGCTTGAATACGAATATCATTACTCTCCGTAAATGAGGTCATTCTCATATTGGTAGACCGTCCAAATGGTTCTTCGTTTGGATTTAATGGCTCAGTTAATTTAGTTCTTGACAATTTACGACGTATTACGACAGTCGCTTCGTTCGGATTCTCAAGGATGACAGCTGGACAGCCACCTGTGAGCTCGTTATTGCCGGTGTTGTTGAACAGAGGTATGTGATTCGCATATTGCGGAGAGGAGAATGACTGACTGGTGCCTGGCCGACTGTTGGGTGGTGAAAAAGTTGTATTTGCTGTTGGTGGTTGTGTTCCACGTTGAAGCGAACAGCTACGCCACTGTTCTCGCGGTTCTTCCCGCGTTTCACCAGTTAAATCGTCCACGCTTGTTGCTCGTCGTTGAGATGAACTACTTTGACTGACATTGCTTGCGTTACTTGCATTACTGTGCACACCGCTTGATGATGTCTCGCTGTTGCTGCTAGTATTACTGTGTCCTATTACAGAACCAGTACCACCGGCATCCAATGGCGGAGAATTGGAAGAATCGGAACGTGGTGTTAACTCGTCATGTGGCATACCGGAATCTGCTCTGCGTAAACAACGTGGTGTTTGCCCACCGTTCATCTGAAATAATTCAATAAATATCAAATTGATGTTTAAATGAATAAATATATGTTATATATATCAAAATATGCAATATGCATGATCAAAAGACGTATACATAAACGATTAAACTTCAGATAGCACAGATTTTTTTTTTCTTTTTCTAAAAGCTTACCTTCATGCATTTTTACACGAATATATTATTACATGTTACAGGAGATTTTTATTCAAATTTTTACAACGGGTTTAATCTAATCTTTTCTTGAACATGTTGATCGTCACTGCAAAGCATCGTTCAAATATTTTGAGAAATAAAATCTTATAGTTTAAGAAGATAACATTAATGTATTATGATAACAATTAAGATGATAATATTACAGTGACGATCTTAAGTGTGCTGACGATGTGCTGGGTTAGAGATCGTGACACGTTAGTAGTACCTGGGGGTTAGTGGTTAGTAGCGCCGTGGCAACTTCAGTGGTCGGTGCAGTAGTTGGAGTCGGAGGTGGCAACGGAAGTGGTTCTGAAGCGGGATCGGGAAGTGGATCTGGTGTTAAGAGGGGTGAGGGATCACCCTCCGAGGGTTGCAGATCGCGATTAGCGCTCGCGTAGTACGTCACTTGGTCATCGTTCACGCACTCGAGCAGCTGTTAAAATTCGTATTATCGTTAGTAGATTACGTCATTGTTTATTATTATTATTATTAAAATAAAAAAATAAGCGATTAAAAAAAAATAATATAAAGTTTTGCATAAAGTTTGGAAGGTAAGCGTTAAGTTAATGGTAGTCATTCTATAATTATTTACATTACTAATCTAAATTATTTCAATTATTTAGTTAATCGTTCACCATACCGAATTTGGATAGTGCTATAATCATTTTAAGAATTGTTATTTAATTACAATTATTAATATTCGCTAATTGAATTATGTAACTAGTTTGAAACATGACATTTATGCATACACATAACACAAAGCCTATTTATGGGGTTATTTAAGTTAGCTTGAAAATTCACACATAACTAAATGTTTTCTTTTCCATCTAATTCTATGATCTATGTATTATGTTGCACAGATTACTCTCTTCGTTTTCTAAGAATTAGGACAATACATTAGTATACGATCAAGGACACACACGCGATTAGTTGGTTGTTACTTCGAAGCACGAGTAAAAAGTACATGTGTGTGCCTTACGTCTCCGAATTTAGGTATACCGTTCCTACGTGGCATCAACCATCTCTCCCACTGTCAAAAAGCATAAAAGAAAAAAACAAACAATTCTAAATTAATTGTGTTCTTATTTTTTCGTATTTTGCGACCAATTAATTAAAAAGGAAGGATATGGGAATGAAGGTGTCTTGTAACTAAAAAGAAAAGAAAAAAGAAGATATTTAACACTCACAATCAGTTAATAAATCCTCGTTAATTATATACACAACCACAATATTATGTATATATGTGGTACATGTATTATATATAATATATTCCTGTTGTTTATAAAAAAATGAAGATTACAAAATCTAAATAATAGTTATGATATTTTACCTTGTTTTCTTCGGAATTGGAGTCGTCCGCTGGATCCAATGAGGTTATCAGCGGTAATTCGCGTAACGTGGCGTAATCCCCGTCATCGTCAGGTCCTCCGTCAGCGACACCTCGTCTGGTTTTTCCCTTATTACTTGATTAAACAATAAAAATAATTTCCATTAATTTACTAAACTTTTAATATCAAAATTTAGTTAAACATAGATCAGAAAAAATAGTGAAGAAATAAGAAGAATGCGTATTAATGTATAATGTAGCAACAGTAGCAGCAGTAGCAGAATGAAACAAAATTCATTGAATAAATTACGTTTAGTATTGTTTAATATTTGCAATTCACGAAATGCAATTAACCGTTTTCCAAGATCTAAAATTTGGCGTAAGGCAAAATAACAATTAAAGCTAGCGAGAGTTGGTTCTCTCAAACATATCGAGGATACGGACGACAAAATGAGAATTTGTGTTTGTAGAAGATAAAGCGTAGTAGTAGTGGAGTACGATATCCAATTTGGGGTTGGGTAGTTTTGGAATGCGTGTACGTAGGGTATGTATGTATGTATGTATGTATGTACGCTTAAAAGGACGAATCGATACGTACGTAGTTACATTACGTAGGAGACAGATAGAACAAGGGGTTAGAAAGGCAATAGCTTTAGACTCTATTACCAAAAAATTGTAAAAAGTTTCTAACTGCAAGGTAAACTCATTTATCAGATGGAAGATCTTCAAAAGTAGATCAAAAAATCAATAACAATAATAATAATTAATTAATTATCAAAAGGAAACATTGTACTCACACTTATATTTGAGCCATGGGAATAATATCGAACGTGTCGCAATAAACAAAACAAAGGTAAGCAAAACATAAAGTAATTAATAGCTACAAGAGTTATATTGCCCAGATGGAGTAAGGGATGTAAGCGTTTTCAAGGATATTGGACCAAAACGTGACATCGATAAGATTGGACAAGCTAGGAGACAAGCAATTAGAGACGTAAGCTCAGACGTAGCCACAAAGACACCAAGAGGAGGGAGGAGGGTAGTTACCGCGAGCCTGACGTACTAGGCAGGTCGTTAAAGGTGACCTTGGGCTTGAGCTTCTTGTTGAGCCAGCCCTTGTCGTTAGCTTGTGTTCCGGCGTTGTCACTAGGGGATTGAGCAGGTGATGGACGTAATTTTGGTCTTAGCCAATAGATTTGTTCGTCTCCGTCGTTTGTCGATTCCCCATCGGCATAATCAACGTTTCCACCTGTTTCCACGTGTAACAAAAAAAGAAAATAATTCCAAATAAATCGCTTATTTTCTTTTTATTCTTAAATGGGATGAAATTCATCTCGAATATATTTTTACCTTGAGAACGTGCTCTCCTTTCCATAGCAGCTTTTTGAATAACACTCATGATTGCTTTTTTTGGTGATGTATCAGCGATTGTATATGTTCTACCATTACCAACAACGAGTAATGGAGCACTTGTGTTATCTTCTTCCTCTCTGGCAGATAATAAATCAACATCGGTTACTAGTTTGACCGATCTTGCTGAACGTACCGTAGCACGGCCAATCGTGACACGTAATTTGAATGTCCAACGTTGTTTTATAGTCAGGAATACCCAAAGAATCATCCACAGTAACAAATGTAAAACGGTACCGATGATACATGCGAGAATCGCACCATCCAAGCTACCCCGATAGACCACCGTGTAGTCGTAGAGCAATGGTGCACTACAGATTGCAATCGCGAGAAACACGCAGAGGGCGGTACAATGAGTGAAGTAAACCCACCCTCTACTATCTCGGCCATCCTTCGACAAGATCACGCGACGTTCACGTTCTTGGTTCAGGAACGCCGCTAACCTAACAAGAAAATGTTTTTTTCTTGTCAATATTTTCATCGATACATCGTTTGTTTCATATAAATACAAATACGTTTTATCAATTATTTATTTTTATTCCTATAATATTCAATAGTTAATAATTTTCAAATGATACGAGAGAAAATATTGTTTGTTTGTTATTTCCAATAAAAGGCAATCAATTGATAGGCTTATGTAACAAACAATAAAAATGAATAATGAACAGTTACGTTTAAGCCGGTGGTGCGGTCAATCGATATCGAAAACATGCAATGAATTTGACAACAGTCAAAGGATTTAAATCCAACAAAAAAAAAAAAAAATAAAAAACAAAACCTCGTAATGCTTTTATCTGACAAGCAAAAAAGGGGTTTATCCCTTACCTGCCGTGTGCGTAGAAATACATGACCATACTCGAACACAGCACGAGGAGAGATGAAAGGGCAAATAGGGCTAATGTAACATGTGGATTAAGGAGAAAATATGAATCACCGAAGATCGTTGAAATTGTGCTTGCTGTGGCTACAGTTCGAGATCGTAGAAGAGGTAAAACCTTCAAAGGTCCAACAACTTGAACCTATAAAATAATAAAAGAAAAGTGACGTGTGACATTTGAAAAATGAACTACTGATCAGTGAATAATAACATTTCAATATTTAATACAGTTAGTATGACTCTATCAATTCATTTTACATTGCATTGAATATATATATTTAGTATGTTGATATTCTGATATTTCGTTCGATAACAGGAACGTCAAATATTTGTTATTCGGTTACCTTGTACAAAACAGACATGCCGGCGTAAGCCAATAAGCTTTGAGCGGAATTGATGACCAGTTGAACGCTGAAAATCGTGCCTAGGGCTTTGTTGCATGACCAAAACACTGCAGGATATCGTACGGAGTAAACACCGAGCGCAATAGCGTAATTAAGGTATTCCAATGTGATTGGACCATAGGATTCAGCTAGAAAATAAAATTACAATTTTTCGTCACACTTTATTCTCTTAGAACAAAATAGAAATAAAATTGAAATGAATTTGATTTTTGAAAACTTACTTGGTTGTAACTCAAGGTTCAAATTTTCTGGATGATCCAGATCAGAAAGACTGTTCATAACCAATGACATACTTTGTGCAGTCATATTTCCAACAGGTGTAGTCTGATTAGTTTTCAATGGTTTAACTGTTGTCGATGTTTTCGTTAAATTCTTAACCTTAGATCTGTTTTTAGAATTGTTATTGGTTTTTAAAATTGGTTTAACGGTTGATCTTTTAAGAATTGCCGAAAATTTATTTGGCGAATTAGTCGAACTCGTAGTTGGTGGTGGTGATGGTGTTGTTGAACTGGTACTGCTAGTTGTTTCTGGTATTCCAGAAGTTGTTTTACTCGTTGTGGTGATACTACTATTGGTTAAAATAGTTGTAGAATCTGCTACGATAGTTCGTGAAACATTTGAATTATTCAGAAAAGCTTGATGTATCGTGGAAAATTTAGTAGAACTTTCTTCCGTTCGTGTTTCAATGGTTTCGTTGACACGAGACAAAACCGTCGTCGTGGTTACAACTCCACAAGGATCCTCCTCTGTTTCCTCTTCAGGCGTAACGGTTACAAAGGGCTGCGGGGTTATAATACCGGTCAAGGTGCTCAAGTTACCAGCTGGATTCATGAAACTAAGCACCACCAGACGATCTCGGTGAATAACCATCCAATCTAGATCCGTTCTCCATATCGCTTCTGAAAATATTATGAGTATGATTATGTTATATTTTGTTTCAATTAATTTTTTTTTTTTTTTTGAAGTGAAAACTTCTTTAGAATGGGAGTGATCTAAAAAGTAAATAAACGGAAACGGAGCTATGTAACGAAGCTATGAAACGGCTGCCATACTAAATAATGAGAGAAAAAGAGACAAACATAGGATTTAGACTGCGAGGGAATGAGACGGAATATAGCTATACAGTTTTTCCTATTCTTGGTCTCCTCTTTATGCTATGCTTCGTAGTTATCDCTCCTGGTTGTATATGTGTGTGTTTGTGTGCGACTGCATACTACAAAGCGTACACGCATATTCTTTCGATACTCGAAATGTTTGAAGGTAGGAGCGATAGAAGGGTAAAACAATAAACAGAGATAAGCACGTAGGTATGCGACAAAAGTATAAGATCCAAACGAACCAACGGTCAACATAAACAAGGAAGGAGCGTGGTATGTTTTTTTTTTTTTACCAAACGTGTCATTTCTTTTCTATTTAAAAATGTTTCTATTTTATTTAAAAATTATTATTAAATGATTTATTTCGTAGATATTATTCTTATTAATGATTATGAATTATATAGATAAAAATAATTGTATTGTCTGCAAAATTTTACAAAAAAAAAAAAAATTGATTATAAGATTTTCCGATAAGTAGTGAGGTTTTTACTAGTCTAACAAAGGTGGTTTGTTTCCATGCATTTTAAAGTTACCAGAAGCAACTCGTGTCATTTCTTTGAATTGAGAACTTGCTTACTGTGTAATATGTGATCTATTTATATATGTTTTTATAAAACGTATAATTATTTTTGAATGTGATAACAATAATATAATAATAATATTATAACAAATAAACCGAACAATTATCCTACTCCTGATATTCTGCAGTCGTCTCTTTCTCTCGAAACTTAGTTTTTCGAAGGTTTCACTTCTAACACGTGTGATCTGCCCACATGATATTTTTTTTTTTTTAGTTACTTTTGTTTTTAAGGATTACGTTTTACGAGATATTGCAGCTAACAATTTTATATTATCAGATATTATTTATTTATCATATAATTATATTATAATATATTTTAATAATTTATTCGTAATATAAATAATATATAATAATGCATATATAATATAATAATATATTATTTATTATTTAAAAATAAATAATATATTACAATAAATATAAAATACAATTATTTATATTTATTCGTTTCACTTTTTGCTTCAAATATATATTTGACAAAATTATTATAATAAAATAACGTTAACAATATATATATTTTTAATACAAATAATTTTAATTTATCGAAATAGAAAATAATTTGCAATAAAAATTTAAAACTGTTTCTTTTTTTTTTTGAAGAAAAGATAATAGCGATTACGAACGATCGTTTGACTCGGTTTAGGTAGACATGGTGAGATCGTAAGTTTTTACGAGCTATAAACTAAATACGATCTGAAGCGTTCGTAAAATAAAAGCAAATAGAATGAAGAAGAAGGGGTTAGGGGGGTGATGGAAGTGGAAAAAATAAAACGTTCCAAAAGTTCGAGTTAGTTATCTCGACGTTATACGACAAATGTTAAAGTTTTATCTATTTTCTTTCCTAACAACCTTTTCCTAACCTTAAATTCTCCACATTTCATACTAAACTAGTCTTGGCGCATTAGAAGAAACAAAAAGCTATATGTTTAGTTGGTAAGTCAATTTGCCCGTTGACGTTTATGCATGCCTCAACAAATAGAAACAATGTACGTGTTGGTATTTAGCGGATTACTTATCTCGATGGCTACCACGCCATCTTAAAACACGAACTTTCTGTTCCTATGGTTTTTTTTTTTACAATTAGATATATTACGAGTTTCCTTAGTTATTTTTATTTAACTAGAATGTTATTTTCCTTCTTTCATAATTTCAATATTAATAATATAAATTAATATATATTAATAATAAAAAAATTTCCATAATTTTCACGTATCTAAATTAAACATTGAGGTTAACTTTGTTCAATTTAATTACTTATGTTAATATAATTTAATAAATGTTTAATTTATATATTTAATATAATAATATATTATTAAATATCTAAATTAAACATTGAGGTTAACTTTGTTCAATTTATATTACTTATGTTAATATAATTTAATATATATTTAATTTATATATATTTATTATAATATATATATTATTATATTAAATATATATTTACATATTAATATAATAATATAATAACATAATAAATATCCTACGAACTTTTCAGAAATACCCTACGAACTTCTCACAAAATTTGATATTTAATTGTGCACGAATTATGTATTAATTGTTTAAACAATGATCAACATTTTTGTATGATAAATATTAATATATACATATATAGAATGAAATAATGTAATTTTGGTTAAATAATTGTCACTATTATTAATTAAATATCCTAATATTTATTAAATTACATTGTATTGTTAGACAATGTGATGTTAATGAAATATCTTGAAATAATTAATCATAAATATTTATCGTAACGATTGCTCGATATTTGAAACTTTAATAGAATTTTTTTATTACTCGATTATATCTCTTGGCAGGAAGAGGAAGTAGTATTATTCGATTTTTCGATTAATTCAACATCATGAATAGAAGAGTAAGAAAAGAACGACGACAGGACAGCGACAAGAAAATTAGCGTTCTCTTGCGACAGGACGACACACCTTCGTCCTTTAAGGGACGCAAGCAAGCGATCTTTCCTTGATCCTTCATTGTCGCCGTTCTTATAGCACGTCCCAACCATAAATCGTTGAGGTCGATTCACACACGTCTTCTTCCTTACCATGTTCCCACGGTATAAAAACATTTATCGTTGTTCAACGAAAATTCTTAGATATATTTTATCTTTTATAATAAAACATTTTAAAAATGATATTTAATCAATTTTTATACTCAAATGATAGATCGTTTTATTCAAATCTACAACGTTCGAATGATTATTTAAAAAAAAATATATATATATATTTCGTTTTATTTAGAATATATTATTTAATATTTTTATGTTTTATTAAATTCATTTATATTTGTTTGTTTGTTCCTGTGTATCGAATAATAATATTTAAATTTTTTAATATTTAATTATTTAATTATTTTAATTTTATATATATAGTTTTATAATATTAATTATACATTATACATATATTATATTTATAAAATGTAGTTTAATAAATATAATATATTAAATATAATATTAATTAAATATAATATAGTATAATTTAATTTTTATTTAAATAATTAAATATTTTAAATTTTAAATAAGTTTAATATTTAAATTTAAATCAAATATAAATTATCAATTATTTTCACAAAAATTAATTATTAAAATTATTATTTTTTAACAGATGTATTATTTTTTTAAATTTTGTTTCTTGTTTGAAAATTGTTATTGTTAATAATGAAAAAAATATATTTTAAACAAAATGTACTATTATACTACATAGATAGAAATGTTTCCTTTCAAGATATGTAACACATTTTCATTTCATTCTTTTTTTTTCATCTGTATTCCCCATTGTCGTTGTTTAATCGTCAAAACGTACTATACAAACAGAGAGAGAGAGCGTATATAATCGCCGCTTCACAGTCCGAAGTTGCAATTTCCGGTAGAATCTGAAATATCGTGCTTGGAAAAGGAAGTACTCCTCTTCTCGTTCTTAACGGCTGGCCCGTTTCCTACCTTCTGTTCAACACATTCGAACAGGAAAAAGCTTTCCCTTTCCTCCTACGCCATTTACTTACTCCCCTTACTTCCCTTCGATTGTTCTCAAGTACAAAATCCTACTTCCTTTTTTCAAAATCTAAAACCCCTTGTCCATATGACTTTGATAATTTCTTACTTTCTTAATTACGGTCACATTTATACTGTATTTTGAAAGTAACCTTTTCAATTTGTTTAAATAATTAATTATCATTTACCAACCATGCTTTTATTCGGTCAATAATAGGATATTTGATGTGCTGTAACTTCATATGTTCGTCATATGTAAAATACGCGGTATTTTATAGAAAGCCACTATAGTGGCCCATAGTACCTCAGTGGTATCTTATAAAGGGCCACTATAGTGACCTGTAGTAGTTATAGGGTTAATAATAATAATAATTTACTAACAATAAATAGAAACTGTTTTTGTGTTTAGCTAATTCGTCAGAGTGCATTTAGTCTTGGCAATTAAGTTAACCAAAGTTAAATTTCAGATCTGTACCCTTGTAAATTTTTGAAGTATCGATAATTAAAGTTCCGATAGGAAAAAAGGTGAAAAAGGAAAAAGACACGAAGACTTTGCTGTTTAAAAATGTACGATGTATAATAGAAGGAACATTTTTTTTTTCTTTTTTCACTGAAGTTTCCAGACAACGCGAACTCGTTCAGGAATAACGATGAAGGTAAAGGAAGAAAGCTTAAAAAAAAAAAAAAAAAGAAAATAAAAGAAATATATATAGAAAAAGAGGGGACAGATGAGAAAAGAAAAAACAAAAAAAAAAATGATGTACAGTTAGGAGAGCTTTTTTGTGATAAATCTTCGAAAAAATTTATCAATGTTTTAGGGTGGCTATATTTCCGTCACTCCGTTTATATCAAATACTTTTCTTTTATTTCTTTTAAAAGCTATTACGAAGAAGAATATGCTGTAATTACGTTTAACGGATTAACCCTGACCCTCTCTTGGTTCTTTCATTTCTGTTTTTTCTTTTTTTTTTCTTCTTTATATTTTCTCTTTCACTTTTAACCCCAATCTAATAGTAAAGCTTCTAAAAAAAAAAAAAAAAAAGAAGAAAAAAACCCCAGTGGGTATGTCTATATATGTGTATGTGTGTGAGAAAGGGAAAGAAAGAAAAAGAGAAATGTCCAGTCGAGACTTTTAATCTCGACGGAAGGACGGAAAACGAGGGAAAAAGGGGTAGAAAGGGAAAAAGGGACAAACGGGGGAGGGGTACGCAAGCTCTCTGA